AATATATATCATATTTCTCTAATCTGGCTACTTACATAAAGTTGTTTTACTGACGCCGCCATTTTCAATGTAAAATGAATTTCTGCAACTTGCTGACGATGGGGGTAGTTAAACGGAACGTTATCTTTCCACAAGCAATTAAAAATTAAACAAAATGCGCCAACCACAGTACACACTAGTAGTGAGCGATATTTCACTACCGGTAATTTTATCACTGATTTAAAAATCGTTTATCTAGTGACGTGCTGAATTGTCGGTACCCAATACTTCCTCTTCGGTACCCGATACCGATTCTTAACATTAAACCTTCGCCTTTATATGCATTTCAAGTCTAGCATGGGTAGGCTTTAGATTGGTAACCCCGGAGTACAGCAATAAGGAAAATATGGGCGGAAATCTTTAGTTATTTGCCGGTTTTTTTTGTGGAGTGGGAGCGAAGGGGGAGGGGGTATGAAGTGCTGTGTGTTAAATTGCGACAGCCGTCAAGGCGCAAGATGCGTAGATGCAAGTGTAGCGCTAGGACGAATCGCTGCATTTTGTGTACATAGGGCACGGGAAAGCCGTTCCCGAAATGTTTCTTTATTATTACATTAACAGCATTTCCTCACAATGATTTTGCTTCTGCTCCAAGCAGCCTCCATTAGCAAGTTAACTATTCAATCCCGCTGAGATGCTGCCGCAGTTTTTTGCAGCAGCCTTAATTGCAAAGCAATGGAGTGCACTAAAACGTTTGCTGAAGCAGCCTCAATTGCAAAGCAAAGGAGTGCACTAAAATGTTACCTATTCTCTAATAGATTAGGTGAAAAATGCAATATTTTCGCATTTAGCAAAATTAAAACACGTTTTTCGCTGTAAAGTGAACTGTTTTGGCAGTTTCAACTCGTTCTTCTTTTCGCTCTTTTCTTTGTTTACTTGTGGTACACAAATGTCAACGCCCTGGACGGCGCAATCTTGTATTCTATCATTCTTGGCATTTACCGAGGGAAATTGAGCAGTTTGAACTGGAATATAACCCAACTAACGGAATCTGTGGGGTTTTAAATAAAAGAAATTATCATAAGGTGGTTATCAGGCGAAAGAAGGGGGGCTGGAACACCTTTCGCAGGGAACACCTTTCTGTGTAGGTGGCCTTCGGCCGCACTTAGGGACTATAACCCTCACAAAGTAGGATTATCTTCCTGTTTTGCGAAGAAAAGGAGCTGAACACCTTTTGCAGAGAACACCTTTGTATATTTTTAATGCATACTGGGTTATATCCCATCTTCTTTTGTCTTTCATTCTTTTGCATATTTTGGAGTTTGACAGCTGAACTCCGCCATTTAATTTGAATATGCAACCAAAGTCAGACGCGTGATTTTGAAGGTGTTTTTATTTAATTTGGTTAATATTAAAGTCATAAAGAAAGTTATAAATAATCGAGTAAAGTGTAAATTGAAGGGGAATATAAAAATATATTGGTGAAGTGGCTGCTTTAAGGAGAATAGGAGTGATAAATGTACGCTAATTTCCGAATTATACAAAAAGGCCATATTTCAAACCGAATTTGCAAATAAATTAGTGACCAAAAATTACAAAAGTGGGTTTTAAAATAATGTGTAGACCCTTGACTAGAAGTGTGTACAAATTTTTTTTGGATCGGGTCACCCCTTTGGACACAATACCTCGAAATAGACCGGCAACGTACTAAAGAGTACCTTATATGGGAGGTAGAGGGGGGTCTAATAATTCCCTGTATGAATTTTCAAAGCGCGCCACCTTATAGTTTTTAAGGAATTTGTTATTAAAGTTTGTAATTTTAACCAACTTGTATGGCACTAATTTACAATACATAATGCACTTTCTACTAAATTTACACGTTATTTACACTTTAGAGTGTGCACGATGAAACAAATAAATACTTTTAGAATATTACAACTATTTCATCAAAAATTGATTGTTGTTTAATTATTAGTTGCGATTCCGTACGAGTCCGGACTAGTCAGAATCAGTCAGATTTTACTGGAAATATCCCGTACTCGGTTCTCTGACTATTGAGACTATTTTCGTTGGTAAATTCTGGTAAATGTGTCAAACGATCAGCTGTAGTGTGTTTGGCAACCAAATTGTAAACAAAAGAAAAGTGCACTCTGCTAATTCATGTTGAAAAGTATTAAATTACTTGTATAAGTGGATTCTAAAGAATTTGAAAGTATTTTTAGTTATTTAAATGTGTGAGCTGAGTGTGTTTACATACAAAATAACCAAAATTTACTACCAAAATTTGGAGGTTATGTTGAAGTTGACAGAAGTTACCATTTTTTACTAGAAAGCGATCCCGTACTTTTCAATGTTACTCTCTCGCTCTGAGCGAATTTTTATTTTTTGACAGTTTTACTAGTCCGAGTCCGAGGAATACGGGATTGCAACTATTATGAGAGTACATTCAGATTATTTGCAAATGACAGCAGGACTGTGTTCTTCTTCTTCTTCCTTTTTGGCGCTGTAACCGCCTAAGCGATTTTGGGCGAGTTTAGCAAAGCACGCCAGTGTTTCTCCTCTGTGTCAACTGACGCCAAGTCCTTCTTCACCTGATCTTTCCATCGCAGTGGGACCTCCCTCTTCCTCTGCTACCACCAGCGGGTTCCGAGTTGAATACTTTCAGAGCTGGAGCGTCGGTTTCCATTCGAACGACATGACCACGCCAGCGGAGCCGCTGTATTTTAATTCGCTGCACTATGTCCATATCATTGTAAAGCTCATACAGCCAGTGCACGGACTTTACCACTTTATTGGTAAATCTACCAACTTTTTAGCTGTATTATATTTTCTACAATTTTTATAAACAAAGGATAAAATTCTACCAACATTTTGCCGAAAGAAATCAAGAATATTTAAATAAACATACATATTTTGTCATCGATCACACCTTAAATAGAAATGAAAAGTTAACTTTATAAGTGCAAAAAATCACGGTCTTTGGTCAAATTTGAGCTCCTGTAACTCGATGAAAAAAATGTTTTTCAGAAAGATCATCTCGTTATTTAAAAGTACTACTCCTCCCCTCCAAAATTCATTTTAAAGCTTTAAAAAATCTTCATTTGCCACCGAGAAGTCGTCTGTTGAATTTACTGAGTTTAGTTTTCTGCGGCTATGCACGTCATACAGATATTACGCCGCTGATATTGTTACGCTGTGATGATAATGTTTCTTTTATAAATTCTACTAACTTCTACCATTTTTTGTATGTAAAATTTACCAACATTAATTTTTTCGAAGTCCATGCACTGCATACAGCTCATCGTTCCATCGTCTGCGGTACTCGCCGTCGCCAACGCGTAAAGGCCCGTAAATCTTCCGCAAAATCTTTCTCTCAAACACTCCAAGAGCCGCCTCATCGGATGTTGTCATTGTCCATGCTTCTGCGCCATATACCAGCACGGGCATGATGAGTGACTTATAGAGCGCGGTTTTCGTACGTCGAGAGAGGACTTTACTCCTGAATTGCCTGCTCAGTCTAAAGTAGCACTTGTTGGCAAGAGTGATTCTGCGTTGGATTTCAATGCTGACATTTGTAACTGTCAACAGTGACGTGGTTTGATGACAGGAGATACTTTGTCTTGTCCTCGTTTACCAACAGACCCATTCGCTTTGCTTCTCTATCCAACTTGGAAAGGCAGAACAGACTTCGCGGTTTTTGTTGCTGATGATGTCGATGTCTTGGGCATAAGCCAGCAATTGCACGCTCTTATAGTAAATTCTTCCTGAGCGGTTCAGTTCAGATTAAAGAAGTCACATGAAAGGGAGTCGCCCTGTCTGAAACCCCGTTTTGTGGTGAACGGCTCGGAGAGGTCTTTCCCAATTCTGACTGAGCTGGTGCTATTGCTCAACGTCATTTTACACAGCCGTATGAGTTTTGAGGGGATGCCAAATTCAGACATAGCGGCGTATAGGCAACTCCTTTTAGTGTTGTCAAAAGCTGCTTTAAAGTCGACAAATAGGTGGTGAGTGTCGATCCTTTTCTCGCGGGTCTTTTCCAAGATTTGGCGTATTGTGAATACCTGGTCTATGGTGGATTTTCCAGGTCTAAAGCCACACTGATAAGGCCCAATCAGTTCACTGACGGTGGGCTACAGTCTTTCACACAGTACGCTCGATAAGACCTTGTAAGCTATGCTTAGAAGGCTGATCCCACGGTAGTTGGCGCGAATGGCGGGGTCACCTTTCTAGTGGATTGGGCAGAGCACACTTAAATTCCAGTCGTCGGGCACGCATTCATCTGACCATATTCTGCACAACAGTTGATGCATGCACCTTATCAACTCCTCGCCGCCGTACTTGAATTGCTCAGCTGGCAGGCTGTAAGCTCCAGCGGCTTTGTTGTTTTTCAGCCGCATTATTGCTATACGTACCTCGTCATAGTCAGGCAGTGGAACGTCGACTCCGTCATCATCGACTGCGTGCTCGGGTTATTCTTCTCCACAACTTCCCTTGCTGCTACCATTTAGTAGGGCGGAAAAGTATTCCCTCCATAATTTAAGTACTCTCTGGACATCAGTTACTAGGTCGCCTTTATTGTTCTTACAGGAGTACGCCCCGGTCTTTAAACCTTCCGTAAGTCGCCTAACTCTCTGGTAAAATTTTCGGCTATTCTTCCTGTCTGCAAGCATTTCAAGCTCTACGCACTCACGTATTTCGGCCTCTCTCTTCTTATTGCGGCAAATACGTCTCGCTTCCTTCTTCAGATCCCTATAGCGGTCCCACATAGCGCACGTTGCCCCCGATCGCAGCGTGGCCCTGTAGGCGGCATCTTTTTTCTCTGCAGCTTCCTTACACTCCTCATCGTACCAGTTGCTCTTTCGGGCTGAAATCCGACTACTTCTTCGGCGGCGGTACTTAATGAGCGGGAAATGTGGTTCCACTGCTCGCATATGTCGGTTTGTTGAAGAGTGCTCTCTGAGACCAGGTGTGAGAGTCGAGTAGCGAAAGTGCTGGCTGTCTGTTATGATTGAAGCTTTTCGACGTTAAGCTTTCCTTGCATATTTGGGCTCACATTTTTTGCTGCACAGAGGCATATCTTGGCTGCAACAAGGTAGTGGTCCGAGTCCGTGTTTGGGCCTCGGAGTTTGCGTACGTCTAAAACACTGGAAGTGTGCCTTCCGTCTATCACAACATGATCGATTTGGTTTCTCGTTTTTTGATCCGGAGACAGCCACGTAGCTTGATAGATCTTTTTATGCTTGAACC